ATCATGGCGACCTCCATGGATGGACCACGTGCTTGCAATACCCCTTTCATGCATGCACCGTGGCTGGTCTTCTCATCCCTGGAAGGTGGCCTTGGCATCTTATGCGAACGCACCTAGATGTATAAACATATGCGGCATGTACCGGGCTTTTCAGATATGCATCCCAGTGGAGGCGGCAGGCGGGCTGCTAGTAGATAAGTTTGTACAAATCTATCACCTAAATGCTAATATTGGAAGTCATCGATGATGAGTTATGGACTTTGCTCAAATGTCCAGAGGCGGGCTACGGGCTAAATAATTCTTGCGGTTCCTGTCGCGCTCTGATTGGCATATTATGTCCTGCCTCTACCCCATATTCTAGTCAGTAACTGTCCTAGGCTTGTAAGTTCTACTAGATCATTGACAGTTTAATCATTGTCCATGTATAACTTTATTGGCCTGAGGAATTTGAATGAATGAAGGAACTTGAATGATTAAGACCTTTCATTCCCAGAGTGGGTACCAATGACACAGTTGTAAAATAATTCCAGTGCTAGCACCAAGTGGTATTATTAGGCCTATGTACAATTAAAGTAATATTGAAAATACTCTAAGCTGTTTACATTTAGAAGATTATGAAGGCAGCTGAAAAATTCAGGGGCACTTTCATGTTAGAGTTGGATGGCATCAAGATTTGATGTACAAATTATATTTATTGACATATCATAGAATAATTATAATTTTGATTAATATACAGTAATGCCTCATAATACACTCAGGATGCATTCCTGAAAAACTGAGCATATAGCGAGCGGATTGGGACATTAATACCTTGCCATGCACTTGTTTTGGTTTTACAGTTGTTATACATTATGGCTCTACCTTCCAATCCACTTGCTACACATTATAACTCTACCTCCTAATCCGCTCACTATATGCTCGGTTTTTCAGGAATGCATCCTGAGTGTATTACTGTATTGATATTTTCAAAACTCCTCTTGTGACAGCCCTATTCTAGACATGCTTTACATGATATCATTAGCCCTATATGATTGTAGATCTTTCTGACAGGAAGGATTGAAGACATGCCAGGGGTATTCCACGTGTACTTTTAGGAATTAGTTTGATAGTTTCTGATAAACTTGCTTCATAACGAACACTTTCAAAAGTTTGCTTTGGGTAAAATAGTCTAGCCACTTGGCAATTGAAATTTAGACAGTTAAATAAGAAATTTGTATTGACAATGAATGCTGACAATGTATTACTACCCTTTGAAAGGCCTAAGTGATTTAAAGCAAGGCCTATACTTGTGGGCTGAGGGAGAAATTCATGAAAGCCAGACCATCAAACCTATGAATGTTGCAGTGCTTTTCCTTGACTTTCAAAGACCATTTCAGTTGTCCTTAGCCACATTAGTTGGGTAAGGTAGAAAATTTTGTCTTACATGTCCTATTGGTCCTGATGTTAGAACTATATCTTACTGGCATCAAACCAAAATTCCTTCTTTATCAATTGAGTTACCTTAAACCAACAAAACCTTTGAAGCTTCTTGCCATTCATATGACTCATCCTTCCCATTGATTCATTGGAGACATCTGGAAAAATTTTCACCAGGGTTATAGTAACACAAATGTAAGTGCAGAATGGCATAAAAGAAGGGGCAGAGGGAGGGTTATGTATGTGACAGGCCTTAGGTGCATTGTGATTGCCAGAGTTTTCTTTCTGGATCAAAGAGATTTGGATGGAACTATTGCTCTTGGGTTGAATAACATAAGCCTATAACCACAACATCTTCACCTAATTTGCTGTCTCGTGATCACAGGTCCTTTTCATTTAGCATAAGCTTTTCAAACTTGAAAGATCATCAGGCCCATTGGTTTCAGAAGCTCAACAAATGCCAACAGTGAAGGTTAATCAAGCAGACATTGGTTGCATTGGTGACATGCTCTGTGCTGCATTGACTGTCAACAGCTGGACTGATGATCTTCCCATATGTCGTCAGTCAGGTAAGTTCTCTGAATGTCCCCTTTAATATGTCTTAGTTTTTTGTCTTGCTTACTGTGTGGTGAGCTGTACTTACAGGCTAGAGTCAATCATGATCAAAATTGTCAATGATGCAGTTTTTAGCTGAGCTGGGAGGATTTCCAGCTTGGAGATAATGACTATCTCATTGAACACTGTTTCATTCTTAAATATGAGCCCCACTATTCATTTCTTTCCAACTCTGGTTGCCTTAATTTTAAAAATTATCTTTTCACTTTCTCCTTATGCCAAGAAAAGTGGTGGCAAAGACTACTTGAGTCTCTGATGGTTTTCAGATGTGATTCTTTGAATGGATCAATCAGGATATCTGAAAGACTTGAAAACTGATTTCCTTTCTCCTTCCTCCTTCCTTTTAGATTTTTCCACCTCTGCCCATCCTTCCCTTTCTTATCAGGCTTTCTCAAATAAGATCTCATTTGAGAAAGCCTGATCTCCTTTCATGGACCTTGACTTGCCAATTCATCTTAATCTTTAAATTTGATGTCACCTCAATGGTATTTACAGTGTCTCATTTCAGGTACATTACCTGAGTAAAAAATCCAGGTGTTTTTCAAATAGATGCCACTTTACCCAAGGATTCCATATAAATTGGCCTAAATGTACTGCATTGTCTTTGACAGGTGTGGGGTTCTCAACAAATCAGGTCTATCGTGAAGATGGCAGGCGACAAGAAGAGCATCAATTAGAAGATCGCTCCTTTTACTTTCACATGGACAATACTTTTCTCTATGGAGTATTGGATGGTCACAATGGAACACAGTTTGTTGATTTTGCAATCCAGAAATTCCCTGCAGAAATACTGTTGGGTCAGATCAGGACAAACATGGACAATAATGGGGTGAAAGGTGTTTTATCACATGCATTTGATGCTGTTGAAAAAGGATATCAGGAAGAGAATGGAGACCTTCTGGCAAAACGAACGTCACTTTTGTGTGAATTGCCAAAAGGCCTAAATAGCTATCAATCTTTCCAGAAGTATCCAGAAATTGTGTGTCATTTGAACAATTTGAATATGCAGCTATCCAGTGGTGCATCTTGTGGTTTGGTTCTGATTCACAATAACAAAATATTTGTGGGCAACTTGGGTGATGTACGAGTGCTTTTGGTTCGTGTGGACTCTGAAGGCATTCTTCGAATACTTCAATTATCAACAGACCATGACTTAATGAATGCTGAAGAGAAGAAACGTCTCATCCAGCTTGGAATCAGTCGAGAGTGCCTTGAAAAATGTGAGAACCTTGTAGTTCCTGCAATGCATAATGTGCAAAGTTCCTACATTAAGGGCAGACTCATCATCCTGGACAATGTTTTTCCTGTATTGGTCAGAAAGTCTGCCTAATATGCTATGATAATACTATGGGGATCCATTTGCTTGACCTTCCATGGAATAGGCACACAATTGTCACTTTTATTCAAGTGGTGCCTGATTTGGATCAGGATGGGAGGCAAAGGTTGTCGCCACACAATTGATGCTTTGTCTAATATTGGTTATGTCATAATTTATGACTTCTTGAAGATCTAGTTAATGCCATACTATTATGTACATTAGGGATGTGCAATCTTTATTGGCAGCGGGCTATGTGAAAATGTCTGACTCTGCATGCTGGCCTATGAATACAAAAGAAGGGTTGTCATCCTTATACCCTCATAAGCCTTCAGGGTGTGTCATTGACCAAGTGACTTATGGTCATGCAGATTGACTGACAACCCCCACCCCTTGGAAATTCCAATGTCTGAAAATTTTCATGGCTATGAGAACCTTCTTCCTTTTAACAGTGCAGAAATAAGCATTAAGTAGGGGAAGGAAGTAAAAAGGACCTCACAGTGCTCTAACTAATTACTAAGGAATGACCAAGGTTGTGCTGGGCTGTGGACTGCAAAGGAACCTATTTTTTCATGTTGTCCCATTTAGCATTAATGGGCCACTAGAAGCTGGTTCACGAGCAGTGGGTTGGAAATCCCTAGATGTACATGTATATATAATTTGCCTCAAGGCCATGGTCGCTAATTCTGAACCTGAGCAAATACATAAAAAAGTAAACACTGCATTTGCCATGGGGGAGGAGCTGCAGCTAATAGTCTTCTCCTGCCAATTCAGTTGGCAAATTTAGTTATTCAGTGCAAAGTGTTCATATAGAAAACTTATCACTCCTGAGATGGAAATCAAAATCCTATCTCTAATATTTGTTACTTGCAGGCAATGTCTAAGGGTGTGCAAGAAGCTGTTATATTGCAAAGCCACTGTCTCTAATCAAGAATATTGTTATGAATCCAGTAGGATTGGGCATTTCTTTTTCATATTTTAATTTTCATGAGGTTAGCCTAAAATTTCTCTATTGTACCCAAGGAGCAATTCAAGCTTAGATATTCAAATAAATTTCTCCATTCTGAACATCTTGTAGTCCTTTCAATTGTAAATCATAGTAGTTGCAAACCAATGCTCATAGTTGGCTGTATGAATGACACTCAGAAAATGCAGCTGCTTGAGCAAAGTATTGTGATGCTGCAACTGTAATTCATTTACTGAGCATAGCCAAGATCAAATTGCCAACTCTCTAGTTGGTTTGAACTTGTAAATATGCATAGCCCCTTTTAACTACTGAATCAAATGAAAATCAAACCAGAATAGTTGGAATTATCATCTCCATCTATTTTTCTGCATCAAAATTGTGTCCTGACCAATGGACACTCTGTTCTGCTGTATCACAGTGGAATTACAATCATGGAACTTTTTTTCACATATCTTTTATACTGGATTAATTTCGTGCTTTCTGATTAGCATTTCTCAACTTAGGTTCTAATATCTGTGATGTAAACTTTGACTGCATCTATATCCTTGTTTATTGGAAATATACACAGGCATAGGTCTGTTGTATTTTTATTTTTTAGGTGTGAAACTGGGGAACCAAGAAAACACAAGATGCTTGGGAAACTGTTATGTGAAAAGTGGATATAAGGAGTTTCATGAGCTGAAGAGTGCTATTGCTGAGCCGATTCTTTCAGACGTTGAAATTCACGAACCAATTCCTCTCACTGAAAGTTGCAGGTGAGTTCTGCATTGATAGATATGTTGATATACCTCAGCCGACCACTTTGCCATGGCTCAGTGGTTAGAATCTCAGTAGTATACAGTACCATGCTTTAATCTGTTTGGCAGCAGGTAGCACTAGTAGATGCATTCAGTTGTGACTTGATCTAACTGGGGGAGTTGTAACTTGGATCATGGCCTGCTAGGACATTTCACACAACCTTCTAAACACATTGGGTCATTTTTCCAGTATGGCAGGTTTTTAAGTGGATTTTATAATCAAATTTATAATTGATTTATTTGAGTCTAATTTTCATTCAATATGATACCAGTAAGAACCATTATTATAGCATTAACTTTTTTTTTTAGACACCCTATAGATTGAGACTAGTACAAAGAATTATACCAGCCAATTCAAAATTCACCACCTGCATTTTGATTGCTGTGGGAGTAAATTTTAAGTTGTAGAAAGGTGAAACCTGGTGTG